AACATGTTCAGACTCTCTTGATTTGTTTTGGACACGTGATCCAATGGCTATCTGACTGACATAAGGGGATAAAATAATGTCTATTATCTTTATTTATCTAAAACATAATTAGACTCTAAAGCAGCTGGAAAACATTTTGTAATTTTTCAGATACAAATAAAAACAGTTGATGTGGAAATACAGAGTGATATTTTTATATATTATTTGAAAAGCCCTGATGCTGCTGCTGATTCTGCCCAAAGACTCCTCTCATTGGTTGTTCCCTGTTGCTATGGTACCAGACATCTGATGCTACAACGTCTATGCTGGTGCAGTAGGTGGTGGTTACAGTGATCTCTGAGCAATTGGACTGACTCATGAGTCTGGCTCTGACACAATCACACCACGTGTATGTGTGTGTTTGTTATTCATGTCTTGAAAGAACCTGTTGCCAGCTTCCACCACTTTCTTTTGACAGTGAAGAAGGGTCAATTCTCATAACTTATATCCATTCTTGTTTTCTTTAACAGATTTGAATTGAGAAATTAAACACAATTCCTTGCAAAAACACAGGCAGCAAAATAAATGAACACAGTGCAGGATTTAATGGAAATTCAAGTGGGTGTTTCTGTATTAGAACTAAACCCAGAAACACAAAATGAATAGCTTGATACATGAAAGAATATGCCAAGAATGCTGCATCGTAATAAGTAAAAAGAAAAAAAAGAACAGGTCATTATCGTCAGTAAATTCTTAAAGACGCTGGGTCAGAGTGACTCTTGGAGGCACTTTTATTCTGTACATTTCTACAAAACTTCAAAATATATCATAGCTAACTGCATTTATTTACCGCTTTTATTAGTTTTGTTTTAAATGGCCACTTGTGAAATACAATTTACCAATGAAATTTGTATACTCGTCTTTTAACATAAAATATTGATTTAATGGATTATATCAAAATTGTCTTTGAACATGCCATGTTGTTACAAAAGATGGTTCAAACTTTGAGGTGTTCAACATTTTACCAGTAGTAGTTGTGTATTTGTGGCCATTTTTCTGATCTTTTGTCACCAGCACCAGTGGAAGTTTCTATTGCAAAAGTCTAATCAAAAACCTGAAACAGAGTTGTGTATTTGTTTTTGCACATCTTTTAAAACATAGCTATATTGCATTCTCTCTCATGGATTAGTTTTACTGATAGAACAATAATGTTGTAATTAGTATTGAGAGGGAACAAATGAGCATAATAGTTTTGCGGCTAATACTAAGATTGAACGCTTTCAGATCTAATAGGATATTATCATAAGTTTTATTTAATCACAAAGCTAAATCACTTTTTTCTGCCACAGCTAAGTACACTGCATTGCTTTGTAGCTTTGGAAATGGCACCATTTTTATAAATAAATCTTAAAATATATTAAAAAGGTTAAATACATTTTTAATTTGGCCTTATTATTAGTAAGAAACACTATTAAATGGATTTAGAGAAGGTTAGTCTTTTACGTTGTGCATCAGAACCCCAAAAACTGTGATTAATATCTTACAGCATTTGAAACGAGAACAAAAATGTATTCTACAAACCTTCTTTTTATTTTTCTACTAAAAAAAATGTATCAAATATTGCACAATAAAAAAACACAAAGATACAAAGTTTTAGATTCTTCAAAAGTAAGAATCATCAGTTTCTGGTTTAGAGTGTTAAACGATCACCCTTTTTAAAAGCATCGTCTCATGAGAACAGAAACACAGAAGTGTCTTTTATCTTTTTGAGTTCTTTGAGGTCCAGAATATTTTTGGCAAATGGTTTGAAATCTTTCTCAGCCGCCCAACAACGAGGAAGAAGTGGATTTCTCCTTTAGAAGACTTTGCACAGTGTATGGACCAGTTTGCACCCAACATACTAAAAAGATGATCTTATGGCTCAGTGGGATTTCATTCAAGTTCATTTCAAACACCACATTACTCGTCAGCTTTGTCCTGTTGGTAAAAAATCCAGAGTTTTGATTCTTCTGCAGCAGATAAGTCCTGAAGAGCMAGGTTAAAGTAACTCCTCTCTGCTGGTGTTAGTTCAGTTTGGCACTAATGCGTATCCACTGAAGAGCCTGTCTGGTGTATTGGACAGCGTGAGCAACACTGCTGTGAAGAGTCAAAGGCCCAGACAAAGTATTCAAGTAGTTGAAGAACTCTGTAACAACAAAAAGGGACATAAGTCTTAAAACTTAATGAAAACTGATTTCAAATGTTTTAGGTACAACCAAAAAAAAAAAAAAAATCACAAGATTTTCACCTTTATTTTCCTTTGCAAGATTGTCTGCCACCTCCCAGTGCTCATAGCTGAACAAGACACTGTTGGTAATGCTCAGGTGATTTGCTGCCATCTGGTGGATACGTTGTGGGATGCTTATGAGAGATGCAGAGCTACCATAGGAATCCCTTCTGTGGTGTTTTGCATTGGGTGAGAGGGAAGATTCTCTCATACCCCTACGAAAGAAAAACAATAAAAAAAACATGCTCAACAATGTATTGGTGACAGTTTATAAAGTTTCAGTGCCTGGAAAGAACCTAATGGTCTCAGTCCATTAATTATCCACTTACTTCCCAGAGTCATTCCAACCAGGTGGGGTTATAGGCACTTTGGAAGAACTCTGTAATAACACCAAAACAAGGCTTAATCCAAACCAAAATGTCAACATCATGCCAGACATTGAGTTGTGATTTTAAAGATTTACCTTAAAGTAATCAAGCAGTACTTTGGAGTACTTCAGCGCGTGATCCTTCTTTAAGCGGAACATCTGCCAGTAAAGGAGAGCGAGGCATCTGAAACTATGGGCACGAGAACAGAAGTCTCAGACAGATCCCAAACCATCTTCAAAATGTCCTGATGCATCTCATCCTCAAAATAAAGAGATGTAGTCTAAACAGAGGTGATGACATACGCACCACAGAACTGCCAGCTGCTTCTCTTCTTGTCTCGCTCCCGGGCCAGAATGGCTTTTGAGTCTCATTGCATACCTTAAAACACAACAGTAGAGCCGTCATTGGTTTTCATATGCAAATGCACTCACTGGCAAAAAACAAAGAAACAAAAAACAGTTAAAAACTCAAATAGAATGGTCTGACTTGGACATAATTTGGTGCACATTCAAACCAGCGATGGATATGTAAATGATCTGACATGTCTAATATATGCACCGGTGGGCATGAAAGGTGGCAATAGGTGTGATTTATCAGGCAGCACAGTGAGTGAAACCCAACAGAGTGGTTGTTTTGTAACATTAAACAGCACTTGACAGAGTTTGATAGGGGCCATGTTGTGGGTTTGTGTATGACCAGGTGGTCATACCATCGATTTGCTTGACATGTGGGACGTACAAATGTAATGCTGCATTCATACCGAACGCGATTTCAGCTTCAAAATCGCATCCAACGCTTCAAGTTGGACGCTTGTGCACTTTGAAGTCAGATGCAGGTCAGCTCTTGAAGCGCTGCACGGCAAGAGCCTCCCCGCCCCTCCCTCCTCTGTCGGGCTCTGTTTAATGTCGGACGAGGAAGTGGCTTTGCATTATTTACAGAGAGCAAGAGCATGTCACGTTCATCAGATAATTAATTCATAATTAATTCACCAAATAATTCAGAGACATTCTGAGTTTCATCACCCAGGAGCTGCGGGAGAGGCTCACAGCTCGCTTTCAAGACTATTTTTGTTCCGAGTCCAGTCTGATGAGCCGCTGCCACGCATTGGTGAGGATATCTCCTGTCAGGACACCGACTGCAGGCACTCGATTTCAGCTAAAGAGCTCCTCTCCATCTGTTTCAGGTTAGTGGACATCATTCAGTAAACTGTTCCGTCGGGAAATCTGTCACTACGTCACACAGTGGAGTCTCTCTGATTGGTTGACGCGGCGCGTCGAGCTGCAAAAGTTCAGATTTTCTAACTTCAGTGATTTGCGCCTCAGCGCGTCGAAYGCTCAGATCGTTCAAATCGTTCAAATCGCGCTGCTCTAATCGCGCTTGAGGCGCTGCAGCACTTCCCGACACTGATTGAAGCGCGTCCACCATACACTTTGCATGTAAACCTGCTGCTCCTGATGCTGAAATCGTGTTTGGTGTGAACGCACCATAAGAGTGGATTGATGCTGAAATCAATAGGTGAGTCTCTGGTTGTTCAAGTCAGATCACCCAAAGAGATGATTATTTCATTGAGTGCCAAGTTTCATTGTGTGACATCTGTACACAAGTACTGGACTCATTAATAACCAAGCAGAGATGGCTGCATAAGGAGTGGTGCCACTCTGGAATGCATGGCCTGATAATTAGTGATGTCATATCATGTATAGTGATGATCTGCATTACAACAGATGGTTATCGTGTATGGTAGCACAGAGGAAAGAGGACCAATCCTGCCATTACCATGGACAGAAATCTGTTGTACTCTTAGCGTCGTGCTGAGGAAAGCAACAGGGTATGACTTCAGGTAGTGATTTTGGGGTTCTTGATGGCACATTGCTACATCAATGACATCTTGAGTCTGCATGTCTGTCAACTTCTGAGGCAGCACCCCGGTACAGTCTTTCAACACTCATCCATCCATGTTATGTGTGTCCCCAAGCTTTCCCCCAGTAAAAGATGTGAGCGATCAACTTGAACCCAGCAGTGGTCTGCCAGATCCACACCCTTCTGACATGGGACCACCATTGTTAACCAACTGATCTAATATTGTAATCATCTCAATACAGTCACATGACCTTTTAACGTGTACAGTTTCATTGAATTTCCACCACTCCATCCAAGTAATTAACATGTTTGTCAGTGAAAGGATCATGACTTGCATCTCTTCTTGGTTTATGAGATTCACCTGATCAGCTCCACTGTCTCAGAATACATAGTGTATGGAGACTTGGCCTCAAGTGGTCCTTCCTCCATGGCCTTCCCACATTCCATAAAGGACAGAGCAGCGTCAACGTAGTTTACAGCTTTTCCCAACTTGTCCACCTGGAAAAAAGTAAAATAAAATAAAATTAACACCCCTGACATGTTCGAAAGGTCCATTTAGGAGATAATTTAGGTCTCTTTGTGACCTTGAAGATGCACTGAAGTCTTGAAGCATTGTGGAATGATGTCATGTAAGAGCTGCTCTAAGCTTCTTAGAAAATTTCCATCCAACCACATATTGTAATCTGCTGGCACATTTACTGCAATTGAATAAACACGTTGTTTTGAGTACTTTTGGTGTTGGCTTTAATCAGCATTTTGCATATTGGACATACCTTCAGATAAAAGTAGTATTACTATCAATGCGAGAYGAAAATGTGTGAGTTGTGACACAAAAAAATAATAAAACAGCTATATTGTATACTTTGTGGCTCATGGCCTGCTTGCCGAGYGCTGAAAACTGATGCTTCCTAACACCTCCTCACTTGTACTTCTAGCTGTGAAAATTCATCTCCAACACAAAATCTCCCGCTGCAAAGACACCGTGTGAACATTTTCAACATTCATGTGAGACAAACCGTAAATTACAGTACAAAATAAAAAAAAGCATTTCATGCAACAATGTCTCCTTTTTATTTGGAACATTATTGTTACAAGATACTGCTCTGTTACTCATGTACAGTACCAGTRCATATACTCATATACAGTACAGTACATACAAAATACTTGATGTCTGCTGATGAGGTAGTTGTTTAAGGTTTTGCTGTCAGCAGGCCTTATTCAATTCAATTCAAATTCAAAAATACTTTATTGATCCCAGAGGGAAATTTGGTAAATTATTGAATGCAAATAACACAGTTTGTCATTGAATTTTACAAATTAAAAGAAGGGAATCACAATATTTTCCTAAAACCTATCAGTGGTTGTCTGAATATAAAAAAATACTCACCATTGCATCAGCCCGGTGCTTCATCCTTTTAGCTTCATGTAAGTAGTACTCAGCATGATGAGATCTAGAATGATAAACACAAATATGCATAAAAAATGTAAAAGTATTGCTTGAAGTAATACACATTACCCACCGCCCTCACCAGTCAAAGTTTTAAAGATGTTGCACGGTTTGTTAGTGCTTGGCATATGTGTTGGGGATAAGTCTCAGCTGCTATCACAATAAATCTTAGCTCAATAGCTGCAAAAAATGTCTGAATTGTAGTCATTTAGGTGTCGTTAAGGTTTATTAGTTGCGGGGGCCACCTTGAATCYAGTTTACCTCAAAAGTTAATCAGTTGTACATACAATGACTAATTCTTTAGGAGTTTCAATAAAATCTACTTGCTGTTGTAAAATATATTTTGCTAACACAGTTTATTTGATTGCTATTTTTTTGTGGCACTGGATCATAATGATGAAACTTACTTACGTACAAACGTTTGAGTGTGCAGTGACACACTTTTTGGACTCACATTTCATGATTTGGCCCAGTTCCTCCATGAGAAGTAGGTCTCCAGGAAGACTCAGATGATGGCTGAGGCTGCCTTGATACTTTCACACACTCCACCTCCATCTTTGGCTKCACAGAAAGAGCTCAAATGAGCCCAAAATGATGCAAGCATCAGAGTAGATCAAACATGGTAGGTGGTTTTTAACTTACCTTCACGGCTTGACCTTTGTTTTTGTCTTTGCTTTTCTGAGTACGGACATGCTCAGCTGCCTTTGCTTTGGTGGAGGGCTTGGTGATCTCAGGGCTCTGGGGCAGCGGAGACAAGGGAGACAAGGGAGACAGTGGCCGCTTGTTGTCCAAGTACTCCTCCAGATACCTGCGACATTATAGGTGTCAAAATCTAAGTGTGGAATTAAATGTGAATTCTTCAAACCAGTCAAAAAGGATTGGGATGTTACCCATTGTGTGTCATCTCAGTTACGAGGTTTTCAGCTGTAAGAGATGAAGATTCTGTCTGTCCTGAGGTGTCATTTGGATAAACTAGGCTCTTCTTGCATTCTCTGTCCAGTGCACCATTCTCCAACTGAGTGCACACAAACACATTTTATGAAACATGCAACCATTTTCTCATAAAGATGCCTACATTTTTTTATATCTACATGTGTTGTTTACCTTGCGTTTCCTTTTGCCATCTTTTGTCAAAGTCTCAGGGACTTGAACGTGTTTCATTGCGTCTCTTTGCTTGTCCTTGGTCACTGAAGGAGATGATGAAGAGGAGGGTTTTTTAGCAGAATTTGTCGTGCTCTCAGGGACTCTCTTGAGAAGACAGAGGTCTATGTGCACCACCAAATTTCTTAAGCCTCGCTGGGAAGTGGGAGCCGCCTTCTCACTTCGTCCAAATGGGACGAGGGTGTAGAGCTTTTGCCTCCCCACGGTTTGCGATCCCTCACAAGGATGTCTAGAGTTTAGTTCTTTGGCGTGAATCACCTTGGGCCTGGAGGCATCGGGTCTGCCCGGTGCTTGGTGTCCTTTCTTGGTAAGTCTCTTGTGAGAGGTAGAGTCTGCTGAAACTTTTTCAGTCCGAGGCTGATATTCAGATTCTGAGCCTGAATTCGAGGGAGAGCTGGAAGATGAGGACGAGGATGAGGAGGATGTTTTTTGAGGAGTTGGAGAATGTGAAGCTAGACGGGGTGAAAAGTCTTTGTCCTCCTCACATCTCTCTCCCTTTTTTGTCCTCCCCTGATAGTCTGAATCTTSTGGAAGGCGGTGTTGTTCGATGCTGGTCAGACCTTTCTCTTTGGCTTGAGCTGTTGGCCATTTATTCAGCTGCTCCCCTTTCCTCCTGTTTTTCCCTCTTTCTGTCTCTTTTCTCCCACTCTGCCGATCTCTCGCTCCCTCCTCCTCTTCTTCTGCAGCCAAATTTTGGATCCAGGGACGTCTTAGTAGCTGCTCCTCCGCCAGCCTCCTGTCTTCTTTTCTTTCTGGTTTTCCTGGTTGTTTTTCGTGATGATGTCTGTCCTCTTTTCTCTCGGCTTTTCGCTCCTCTATTTGAGTCAAATGGAATCTTCTCTGGTCCACTTCTTGTGCCTTGGTTTGAAGCTTCTTTTGAGCATTTTGGGAATTATTTGTGTGCACAGGATTTGACGGTCTAGCCTTCCACAACTTTGTCCAATGTATTAGGTTAGGGCTGGGCCTAGCACTTGACCCAGTACCAGAAGTGCTAGTAGCTTTACAGATAGATTGGGACTGGGAACTGTTAACAGTTCTGGTTTCACGACGGAAGGGTACTGGGTGTTTTGATTTGCTGGGACTATGTGACTGAAATGGATTCCGTAGCTTGTGGATGGGTTGGTTACCTTGAGCTTGATCAAAATGTAATGTGTTTTTAGCTCTGGGTGCATCAGAAAGCGGTTTAACGCTTGAATGTGAGGAAGGCTCTGGTGTAGATTTGAGATTTTGCTTTGAAGTCAAAGCTCCATGAGCTTTCAGCTTGCTTTGGCTTTGGACTTGGATCTGTGTAGGGTCAGTCCTGGGCCCGTGCTGATGAGATGGGTGATGCTGAATGGCACTTGCAGTCTTACTCTTCAAATTGGTAGGTAACGGAGCAATCCATGGTCTAATTTTTGTCCCGTGGGAAGTTGATGTTAAAGTGGAATGTGCTTGGTTCTGACTTTGACCTTCAAGATAGCGATGAACCCTTGAGGGGCCACGTAAAGTGGGACTTGGGCTTTTTGGAGGATCTTTAGATATAGGACTTGGGCTTCGGCTGACTCGTGGACTCCCGCATGGACTGGGACAAATACTTGGAGCTGGACTTGGAATGAGGTTATGCCTTGGACTTGGGGAAGGACTTGGACAGGTACTGGTGAATGGACTGGGGCTAGGACAGTAACTGTAACCAGGGCTGGGTACAGGGCTGCTGTGGTTGTAATTGAACTGTGGGCTGGGTATGGGACTTTGGCTAGGGCTGTACTCCTGATTGCTGTCCCAGGACCTGGCTGGCGACGGGGCTCTCTGGGTCTTGGGAGAAAGCTGGTGGTCTGAATGACTTTGTGAGTGATTTTGATCAGTGCTGCCAGGTTTTTTCTTGGATTTCTTCAGCCATTTATCTAATTGCCACTGGGTAGCAGAGGCATGATCTGTCTTTAAAGACAAAAGAGATAAAATGACAAAAAATCAGATTTGATCTTTGTTGACTGTAAAGCTGTTTACACAATGCTAATAAAATTAGTAACAGTTCTGTGCAAAAATATTCCTTCCTTTTAATATTTATTGTCTTTCAATGTTATTCTTATAACGTTTGTGTCAGTCTTTAAAAGAAAAAAGTAGTGTGCACAACTCCAATACAAAAAAGGAGAAAGAGTAAATGGGTGGGTGCCTGGCTCTGAGGAATCCAAAAAAATGGGATAACCAAATATCAAAATATATCCAAATATCAACATGTTTTAATAAGGGCAGATGTTTTGTTTCAGTCTTTATATCAACAAAATTTCAGAGAACTTACTCTTTCTTTTGTTGCATATTTTTAACACTGAATAAACAATTCATGCATCATATGGCTCCTAAACCCAAGACATGAACAAGCACTGTAAGTTCACATTACAGGTGACCTGACAAATAACCAGTTTTGAAAACATATCTTGTGTTTAAGAACATCAGACATTCTATCTATCTATCTATCTATCTATCTATCTATCTATCTATCTATCTATCTATCTATCTATCTATCTATCT